CCATTCCTGTTGTCGTGACCGTGTATCTCCACGGCATGTGTTCACCGTTCGCACAACAATTTTGTTTTGTTTTGTGATAAGATAATTGATGAGTGTTATTTTTACACTCCTCTAACCTAAGTTTAAGCAGAAATATTTTATTAAAACCGAGATATTCGCTCTGATATTGCTACTAATGACTAATGAATGCAAACGATTCTAAATATTCGATCTTTATTTTATTTCCACGAGAAATTGGCTATTTATGGACAAAATCAAGCCAATACATGAAAAGGGGTAAAGTGGAGATAGAGGAGATCAAGTGGGTGGTGCACCAGAGGAAACAGAGCAAAAGGCGACCTTCCATACGACTATCCGCGCTCTTATGGATAGTTGTATGGCATGGCAACCGAGGCGACTGGTCTACGTGAACGACATTTGTAAAGGGCCTGGCGCCAAATGAATACCAGAACATCACAGAACAAGCTAGTCATTCTCATCTTCACTAAAGCCATCTCCATCAACCATAGCCGCCACCATTTTCCATCGCCATAGCCACAACCTTCACCACCACCATAGTTCTCAGCAATCTAGTCATACTTGTAATCATGTATCACACACGGCATCCATTGTAAAACATATTATCAATCAATAAATCTTCATGATGTGTTCTTCGTTTGATCTGATCTTCATGTGTGGGTAGTTCGGTAAGGTCATGGGTTGAGGCAAGGGTCTTGCAACCCGATGTATTTTTTTGGAGAGTTCAATGGAAGTACGTTGAATTAACGTCTTGTATGCATAGCATAAAAAATGTTCCGTTATTGTCTCATGTCTCGTTCGTGTTCTTCATCCCTGCAGGTACCCAAGATCATGGAGAGTGAGTCACAAAGATGCTAAGGGTAGGGAGACCGTTCCAAACACCAATGGCAGAAATGTTTAGTGTGATAACACAAGTCGTATCCTTGGAGATTCAAGAGGTGTAGTCATTAAATGCCCAATGCTTTTGTCTGATTATTGCAGTCTTAATTAACAGGGCAACCCCGTGCAACGGACAAGGCCTTCGGTTGGACAACTGACTCTTGATGCAGGACGCGTGCCGGTCAAGACATAATTTAGACACATGCCCCACTTCGATATGTAGCAAGCACATCTTGATGGATGACTTCCAGAGTACAAATTAAGATCATGATTCATGATGGTCCCGACACAAATATATGGTTGTAAGCATAAGTCCTCATACCCATGCCTATTTTTATTATAAGTGTTTTCAGTGTCAGCTTGATTTACGATCTGGTCAAAAGATAGAATTTAATTCTCTAGCAAGACCTTGTTTGATACCCTAGCTTAAATGGCACCATCCTCTCGTGGGTTCGGTAACTCAGGGTCACCTCTGGGGAAAAAGGCGAGAATCCTTTCTGCTCCATTTTCGGCTCACTAAAGGAAGTAATCGAACCATTTTCTGGCGTCGTTGCCGAGGAGGCTTTGTGTGCCTAGTCTTTGTGTTTAGGGTTTTTATTAAGAGTGTTGTTTGAGTTTTTAGTTTACTTTTTGTTGCAAGTCTTGTCAGTAGAAAACCTAAAAAATATTACTACGAGTCATAACCTAGGAAGCTTTGCTACTCCTAGCAATAGTTTCATGCGTGAACCTATAGCACAACCTGATGTTGTTGCCGCTGAGTATGAGATAAAACCGAACCTAGTCTCTATGGTTCAATAGTATCAATTTGGAGGCTTTGCTTCTGAGGATGTCGGTACGCACTTGCATAATTTTTCTGAATTGTGCAACATGACACACATTAAAGATTATGATCTTGACGCTTTGAAGTTGCACCTATTTCCTTTCTCCTTGAGAAGAAAAGCAAAAGAATGGATTCTATCTTTGCCTACAGGTAATATAACTTCATGGACTGATTGATTCAGTAAGTTTTTATCTAAGTTTTTCCCACCTGCAAAAATTATGCAACTTCGTTCACAGATAACAAGTTTTAAGCAGGAAGATCGCGAGCCACTAGCGCTTGTGTGGGTTCGCACAAAGGATGCTATAAGAAATTGTCGTAACCATGGAATGGAACAGTGGTTAATTTTTCATATGTTTTATAATGTCTTAAATCCTATGTCAAAAACTATGATTGATACTGCTGCAGGAGGAACTATTATGGGTAAGCCCATCGTTGATGATAAAAAGTTGCTAGATGAAATGCAAGAAAACTATGCCCGGTGGCATGTTGAGAGGGCTACCACCAAGAGAGTTGACCGCTAAGATTGATGAACTCATCTCCGCCATGAAAGGCAAACAAGAGGTAAATGTGAACGTTATTAATGATGAAGAGGTTAATGATGTCAATTTTATTGCTCGTAATAGCTATAATCCCAACTGAAAAAATAATGGGTATGCATCTAGATTACCTTATCCCAATAATAGTGGAGCACCTAACAATTTTAATGGAAATAGAAATACTCTAGAAGAAATTTAGAATTTTTTTTATTGCTAGTCAGAGTGAGCAGAATGAAACCTTTAAAAATATCTTGAAGAATCATGATAACTTACTTGGTCAATTGACCAGTAAGATTGTTGGATTCACTAACAATGTGCAGGCTCTAGATGGAAGAATTAATAGCATGGAAGCACAAGTGGCTAAAATTGCAGAGAGCCAAACTCTGATTCTATGTAGGTAAACCAGAACCTAACCCGGTTGAAGATGTCAAGATGATGAGAAGTAACGAAGAGAGTGCAATGTGCGAGAGTATACTTATACAGTTACAGACTTCATAAAGATGATAGCAATGAAACACCCACTACCTGAGGTACCAAATGATGAGGCATATAATGTCTTTCTTAATCATGTTGCAGCGAAGGTACGCGAGTTGGACGATCAAAGAAAAAAAAACTATTCAATAAGTTACCTGCTAAGCAAGAAGATGATTTTGAGCGTGAGATTGAGATTGGTTTGACCTGTCACGATTAAGCATGGTGTTATCATTCAAATAAATGATTGCCCTGTCACGATTGATCTTGCTATAGTTGATATGCCTGAAGATCTCATTGCTCCTATAATTCTTGGTAGGCATTTTCTTATGACCATAAAGACTGTTATTATGTGTTTGAGGGAAATGTGAGATTTGACCTTACTGGGAAGGATCTTTTTGTGAGACATTTTCCCAGGAAAAAGAAAATGAAGACATACACCGGAGACGGCATTATCGTCAATGCTCGAAGCTATGGGCTCGGTGTCTTTTTACCCAAGTGAATCACTATGGTCGAGCTATCTGACCGAAAACAAGCGCTTCGTGGGAGGCAACCCACGCGAATAAGGTAGAAAAGTAAGTTTTTGTTTTTCGTTTCAATAAAAGAGTGTTGAAGTTTTATCATGGAGGATAAGTTGAGAAGAGTTGTTCTAATGAGGCCTTTGTCTTGCGCAAAATTATCGTGTGTTGTAGTGACATTTGAATGCCTATAAACATGCCTATATGTTGTGTTGGAACTAACCCCGCAGACAGAACAAAATATGGCCTAGCGTGCAACCACCGTGGTTGTTTGACCGATTGTACGGAATCCTGGCGATTGGCGGAGAATCGGTTGGCGGAGGGGCAAATCGCTGACGAGCAGGAGAACGATGACATCGCCGTGGCCATGGTCGTGGAGGATCTGGGCTTCTTGGATGAGCAGCGGGCATTGTAACAGTCCATGCGCATCGCCCGCGACATCTGCCGCAAGCAATGGCGGCTGCGGGTCCTAAGGGTGGAGAGTGGCGCCTTGTTCATGGACCTTGATGCGAAGGGGAGCGAAGAGGAGGCGTGTGTGACCATAGATGTCGCCGCCCCTACTGTTCATGGCCCGCCACAACAACCACAAGGCCGACCCATCCACGTCAGACGTCGTCGACACGGTGAACTCCGGCGAGAAAGAGTAGGACATGGGACGTGGGCACGCCTAGTATCCCATGTGGGCCGTGCCCCACGTCCTATTCTCTCCCCCTCCCCCTCTCCCGCAGCTTCACTTCCTGGGGCTCATGGCCGGTGAGTTTGCCGGACATGAGGAAGGCATGATGTAGAACACGGAGGACGCAACGGTCGACGAACATATAGACTAAGTTAAAAAAATGCCATTCACTTTTGTTTAGTTGAAATATGTCAAAAATGTAATGGTTCTAATGATAACTGTCCAATTTGCCTGGTTTGTTTAAATTCCTTTTGAAATGTGGTCCGCGTTGAAGGCTTGAAGCCCTATATAACATGGTGATGTCGATGGAACCTGAATCATTTTCTCTCTACCTAAACTTTCCTTTCGCGATGTAGCCCAGTAACAAAGATAATACGGCCCTATTATAGATGGAATATAAATATACTTACCACAGCACCAATACACTGCACTGTTTAGGATGTACACTTGGTGCATGTTTCTTATCGAATACTGTATGTCACACCGCGTATTCCATAGAACAGCTCCATGGACTATTCTCCTTCTGCCTTTTTTCTTGATAGGAAACACGAAACAGCAGGGAAGGATAACAAGAGGAACCAGTCCAGTCCCACCTACCCTACCCTCAAAATGTGAATATATGTATATAATCATGGCAACATTATTCAGACTAACAAGCGACTGGGTAGCCCGAAATCACTAGATCAGAAAAGCTGCTGCAAATTGTAGCCTTACCACTCAGCATGGCTTTCAACAAATTAGCACCTGCAGTAGGGTTCATCGTAGCACTGACGGCGTTCCGCCTCACCGGCGTTGGAGCTTCTGTGCCACCAGGCAACTGCACGAGGGAATGCGGTGGGCTGGAGATCCCTTACCCATTTGGCATCGACCTCGAGGATGGCTGCCAACTTTCTGACCGCCGGCAAGGCTTCAAGCTCCGCTGCCTAGACAGGGGCGGCCGTGGCAAGAGGCTACATTACATCAACCAGGAGGTGCTGGAGATCTCGCTGGAGCATGGCCAGGTCCGGTGGCTGAACAACATCTCCTCCTACTGCTACAACGCCACCGCCGGGGAGATGGAGGTCAACAGCCCGCCGTCGAACATGGACCTGGAGGGCTCCATCTTCCGGCTCTCCGACACCGCCAACAAGTTCACCGTGCTCGGCTGCAAGACGCTCGCCTACATCGGCGACACGGACAACGTCACGTCGTACACGGCCGTGTGCGGGGCCACATGCAAGGACGGCAACCTCTCGCTGCTGACCAACGGTTCCTGCGAGGGGATCGGCTGCTGCCGGACGGCGATACCGAGGGGGCTGGAGAACTACCGGGTGTGGTTCGACGGGAGCTTCAGCACCGGCCGCTGTAGCTACGCGGCGCTGGTGGAGGCGTCCAACTTCACCTTCTCCTCCGCCTACCTTTCCTCGTCGGCGTTCGTCGACGCCTACGGCGGGCAGGCGCCGCTGGTGGTGGACTGGGCTATTGGAACGCTGCAAGGGGAGACTTGCGAGTCAGCACGCGCCAAGCCGGAGTCCTATCCGTGCGTCGGCAACGACAGCGTGTGCATCGACTCGCCTATTGGACGAGGCTACTTCTGCAGATGCAAGAAAGGGTACCAAGGAAATCCTTACCTTCCATACGGATGCAAAGGTAACAAAAAGACTAACAACAATTCCACACTTACCATACGACCAAGTCTCCAGTCTTTAATTCAATTTTCAGGATAACTTATTAATCCATCTGTTGCAGAATAAATTCGGTTTGTTTCTCTTAAAAAATGAATTCGGTTTGTTAAAGCAAAATACAACGTGAAATTGGTTTTCTGATTAAAATATGGACGAATATTCTTCTAAAATGGACGAATATTCTTGTAAAATGGTAATTGTGTTTTTTTAGCAAGAAATGGTAATTTTGTTGACATGCCGTTTCTTTTACCTTTTCCAAGATTTTCCAAGATTAGTCTCACTATTGCACCAAACCATCTACTGGTCCAAGTAATGACAATTCTTGCACCAAACCGAGGTTCCAATCTTAATTTACTTTTGCATGGTAGTAACTTATTACTCCCTCTCCATCCTTGTAGAACGAATTTGATTTTTTTCAAAGCAAAATACAACTTGAAATTAGTTTTCTGATTTTAAAAAATGGAAGAATATTCTTACGAAACAGTAAATTTGACACAACATCGAATTTTCAGGTGGCAGTAATACCAATTTTTCATCTACTAGCTAATTGCCCGTGCGTTGCAATGGGGACATAGGTTCAACACCAATCGTGTCTGTGATATGTAGTATGTTTACCCCTTTCGCTTCTCCTCCTCACACAAGAGCACCCAATGAATAGGGTTTCCCTGCCTCCTGTCACGCTGGCGCCGATCTGCCTTGCATCCTACGACCTTAGGGCCATGGAGGCGTGGTGGATCCCGGCCCTCGCCGGCGGGAGGCTCCTGCTTCCTTTTTAGGTGTTATTTGGAGTTTGTCTAGGGTTTTTGTCCTGCTCGGGAAGACGAGACGACGACGACTCCCTAAAGATGGAATAAGGTTCTCCCGCCTAGCCCATGTCTTAGTGGTGTGTCTAGCGTCATTGGAGGGTGTGTAGAGGTGTGTCTCCGGCGGATTTTATGGGATACGTTCGATGTTTGTCTTCGATGGATCTGTTTGGATTCGGTCTTCGTTCATCCGCATATGTGTGCCTACATATTGTATTCTTTTGATCTATGCTTCTCTTCATCAGCGACAGTTGTTGTTCTGGTGCGCTGGTCCTTTGGGGCCTTAGCATGATGACTTCCCGACTATCTACTACAACAAGGTTTGTCCGGCTTTGATAGGGAGGGGTCATGACGGCAGCGCGCCTTTGACTCGCATCAGTGCTTATAGTCATCGCTGGTGGTCTACAAACATAATGTAATTTATTTTACTTCTAGTGTTCTTACTGCCATTATGTTTGATGAATAGATTAGAAATCCCCCCCACCCCCCACCCCCACAAAAAAAAACACCAATCGTGTCCGACATATACCTTACACCCACCATATTCTAGATTTTGGTAAGATTTGATTTGATTTGAGTATGGTTAGTGAAGGCAAGGAATGTTTTGATTTAGGTGAGGTTTTGCTAAGATTCAACTTGATTTGGATAGGGTACGAGAAGCAAGGAAAGTTTTGATTTAGTTGGTGTCTTGATAAGATTTGATTTAATTGAGTTAATTTAGGATGTGGTTTTGAGAGACGACGGACTAATGTACACACACTAAACCTGCCATTACAACCGTAGACTCCCCTTTAATGTAAACTATGTCACCTCACCATCAAGAGCCCTATAGCCTCTCTTTAAAGCAATTTTTAAACAGGCGTGTAAAATCCTTATGTTGGTGGTCCATGGAATTAAGCAAATTTCGACCCCAAAAAATCACTATGTGCACTTTAAAAGGGTAAACCTAATCCCTCAAAGCCCACAATTTGCACTACGATAATCTTTTTAACCCCCAATCAAAGCCCACAATTTGCACTACGATAAAAACAATGTTGACGTTCTGCATTAGAGTCGTTGTAAGATAGGTCAATGGCTTCACGAAGGTGAAAATGTTATACATTATTTCAGGAACTATGACCATGTTAAATATGCCAAAAGGAGTTATCCTCCTTTTCGGGAAAAAGGCGTGACCTCAGCTGTTAAGATTATATATCAAACAGTCCGCGTGGCTCATAGGCAATATTAGAATTAGAGTCAGATTATTCACACAAAAAAAGAAAAAATTGAGTCAGATTGTAGGTACCTAGTTGTCTGGCTATCTTCGTCCAAAAATGGTTATTTAGCTACCAGTAGAACTGGAAATGTCGGTTTCATGGAAAAGGCTGACGATATGCACGTGTTATTAATTGCAGTCGTGTTTTATCATTCTAGGTATGATAGTCAATATATTACCCGCCCAAGTTCTAGGAAAGCCAGTCTTTTGCCCCATGACATGGCTAATATTCTGATTCAGATCTCCTAATCTTGTCAAGAAGACAAGAACATATGTATTACCTTGGGGAAATAAGGTTTTTCTTTGATATTATTTTGCTTGTGCACCTTACCAAGATGTGCCTCATTTTGCAGATGTCGATGAGTGCCTTGACCCAAAAAATTGTGAAGGGACGTGCCACAATATCATTGGAGACTTCATCTGTTGTCCTCCGAGAACAAAATATGATCCCAAAAAAATGCAGTGCACCTCTACCAAAAAGAAAACTCTCGTCATAGGTACCTACCTTTCAATTATTATGGGGTATATGAAAACAACAATAAGCTTATTGGCATATGGTTTTACATAGGTGTTACCATTGGGCTGGGTGCGGGCTTTGGAATGCTACTTCTTGGCTTGAGTGGAATGTCCATCTCCTATTGATGGAAAAGATACGTCAAAAAACAACAACGCAGGCTTTATTTCCAAAAAAACCAAGGCCTTCTATTGGAACAACTCATATTATCAGATGAAAATGCAAGTGATAGAACAATGATTTTCTCCTTAGAGGAGTTGGAGAAGGCAACAAACAACTTTGATGAAACTCGTATTGTAGGCCGTGGAGGACATGGCATGGTATACAAAGGCATCTTATCGGACCAACGTATGGTGGCTATAAAAAAGTCAAAACTTGTTGAGGAATCTGAGATCAATCAGTTTATTAATGAGGTTGTAATCCTCTCCCAGATAAATCATCGAAATATCGTGAAGCTCTTTGGATGTTGTCTTGAAACAGAAGTGCCGCTCTTAGTATCTGATTTTATCCCTAATGGCTCTCTATTTGATGTTTTGCATGGTGAGCCAACTAGTAGACTATGTTTATCCTGGGATGATTGTTTGAGGGTTGCTCAAGAAACTGCTGGAGCTCTCTGTTATCTACATACATCTGCCTCGATATCGGTCTTTCATCGTGATGTGAAGTCCTCGAATATCCTGTTAGATGGAAATTTCACTGCTAAAGTTTCAGATTTTGGTGCTTCAAGAACAGTTCCTATTGACCAAACTCATGTTACCACAAATGTACAAGGAACATTCGGATACTTGGATCCAGAATATTATCAAACTGGGCAACTAAATGAGAAAGGCGATGTGTATAGTTTTGGTGTGGTACTCATAGAGTTACTTACAAGAAAAGAGCCTGTTTTTAGAAGTAATTCAGGTTCAAAGCAAAACTTGTCCATCTACTTCATTACAGAGATTAAAACAAAGTCAGTAAGAGAGGTGGTAGCCACTCAAGTTCTTGAAGAAGCAAGCGAGGATGAAATTTGTATCATTGCCTCTCTTGCGGAGACGTGTTTGCGTCTCAAGGGAGAAGAAAGGCCTACTATGAAGCAAGTGGAGAGTACATTACAATATTTGCGAACAAAAAGGTTGGCCTCATGTCATGTTGTTCAAAGGAGCGAAGAAGAAATCCAACCACTTGTCTCTAGTTTTCAACCTTTCGCCATTCATATGGATGATAAATCTCATTCAGAAGCATCTAGTTCTTTCTTCAGTTCAGGGTGAGACATTTTTTCTTTTCTTTTTGACAATGTCCGGGGTGAGAGCTTATGTCATTTGCTTATCTGGTTCCCAAGTATTTGAAGTTGTTAGTTTACATTTCATTTTTATCTTTGCGACTAAATAGTTGTCATAATATTTCTTAGTAGCGGGTTTGCAGAACAATTCATTACTATACGAAGACGGGAGTGGAATAATGCCTTATTCGGCCAAACACATGTACTGCGGTCAAGAGTGTTAGATTTTTCTGTGGCTGTTTATCAGCATATTTCTTCTTGCAAGAACTGAGATAAATTCTGCTTCTCAGAGTATATTTCATGCAAGAGTTATGCCAACATTTTGCCATTTTTGTCTTGCTGGTGTTTGTTGTAACAATTGAACTAAAATAACCCACAGTGGTCATTTTTTCAAACATGCTGTACCGTCAATTCCACGGATGCCCCCTTACGTCCATCCAAACAGATCCCAGAACTATTGAACGGTTCATTTTTGCTACCACTGTAGAAAAAGGTTTGCTTAAGCACAATCCAAAATCTTAGCAACTTCCATTCTCTGAATACGGAAGACTGATAAATGGCAGGAAATACAAAGCACATGTAATTGTGATCTGTGCACCGGCAACCCATAGGTGTATGGCAGGATGCTGCTTCGCATGGGTAAAACAAGGCGGAGAACAGAAACTCTGCTTCATCGACAAGGTTCCAGTGCATCTTAAATGTCTTTTCATTTTTATGGAATGCCATCCGGCAAGCTTTATTGATTAGATATAAAATAGTTATATCGTTGAAGAACATAGCAAAAATGAAGCTAGGGGGTTCAAGTCCCAGATATGAGAATTTTGCAACCCCAAAGGCAATACAGATCACATAATCAAACAGCAAATAACAAGCAGGGTACAACATAGACAGATAGTAAATCGATCTTTCGAAATCTCCACAGTTCACTTGTTCAACAGATTAAACATGATTCAAGTCACAATGCCAGGTAATTGCACTTAAGAAGATCTGTCAAGCGCTCTGTTACCATTAACAGACACATTTCCCTATTTGCTCCAAGTATAATACGGTCTCATTGCTAAACAAAAGGCGATCAGTTCTCATACTTCGGGTCTGCCATCACAAAGTGGTACGCGATGACCAACACAAAGATGAAGATCCCCAGGAAGTTGGTGAAGAAACCCAAGTCTTGATCGTCAAACATCTGCAGAAAACATTGGCAAACAAAGGATAGTTAAGATGTGAAAACAGGCAATCGATGATGATAGTCAAATGTACTGGTTGCCACTTATCAGAAGTATATGACATGGAAACAAAGGCTAAAGCACAACATACAAACAGAGGTATGAACGAGCTGTGCGTGTGGTGTCAGAAAGGAAGGCAAGAAGCAGCACTAAGCTAATATAGGATTATGGCGATAGGCTGTCAATACAAAACACAGCAAGTCAAACATGTGGTAAAGCCCTGCTTAACCATCATATGGTCCTGATAATTCCAAACAAAGATCTCTGAGCTCAGGGGCATGTTCCTACAAATCTAATTTGATGACAGATTGGGATGTCACCAAGTCAGCATCACTCTGACTCCACTTTCTCCAAAAAGATACGTAGAAATAGCAAATAAACTGGGGTTAAGTGCAATCCACTTCATTGATTAAGGAACCTTGCATGTACAAAATACAAATTAGGCCATCCATGTACCCGAGATGGGAAGGGTGTCCTCTGCCTACTGTAGTTCAGGGATGAGTCGTGGGAGATGGGAGACTAGCTAGATAAACTTTTAGTGGTGTAGCATGATCAGAAAGAATGACCATACTTTAAGCTATGAAGAGCATACTGCTACTGATGTATAGAGCTAGATTACATAAGATGGTGCGACTGAACCTGCACTACTAATATCTATAGAAAGTTTCAAATGAAAGCAAGACAGAAAGATAGAAGATAACAGAAACAAAATTTCGATAACCAGATCCAGTGCAACACATGAATGGAGGTGTGAAATTTAGTTAACTGCTGTACAAGAGCACTCTCTCTGCAGTGTAATAGAACATGCAGGAAACGTGCAATGATAGCTATACAGAGAAACACACATAACACGATCTTCCTGGTGCACCAATTCATTGGTCTTCATATCTTCATTGCCCTTCCCAAGTTTCTACTGCCAAGAGAACTCTTCTTGTATGCAAGAGTTTGCGAACCCACCAACTCAGCCTCGCCTCTACCTTAGGTTTGATGTTTTAAGGGGGGGAAATCATATCATCTATTATCAACATGTACAAATTCAGCTCCTTAGCTGTTCACTCAATATAGCTTAATCTGCTCGGTGGGTTGCATAATCTTCTTACGGCTAAAACTGGAGAATTACTTAAAAAAATCATCCTAAAAGGATATCAGGCTACTGCATCTGGCGCCTGAACCTGACCAAGCGGATTACGTTCACTCACCTATGGCATGGCACACCCACCGGGTGATCCCCCAAAGAGCACCACAGCAATTACCCTAAACCTACGAACAAAATCCAACAAAAGGGACAGAGTGGACTGAGCCCGGACCATTTCCTGCCGGAATTCCGGAATCAAATCGAACGAGATCTCACGAGATGCAAAGCTGATCCGGCCACGAGATCGTGGCCAAGCAGCCGCGCAACTCAGTCACCCCCTTGTGACTCCACGTAGACAACTACGGATCCCGCCCCAAATCGAACGGATCTGCCGTAAACCACGACGAGGAAGACAGAAGAAGCCGCGGCGGGACGGGCAGGAACTCTTCGCGCGAGCAAAAATTCCCTATGCGATCTGAGAGAAGAGAGCAGGTGAGACGGAGGGAGAGGGCCGCACCTTGCCGGCCGCCGCGCGGATCTGTAGGGAGACTGGGCGCGCTCGCGGTCACGCTCGCCGTCGTCGCCGCGTCGTTGGACCTGGCTGCCGAGTGCACTGCGCTGAAACTGCCGAGTTGCGGCGAGGAAGAGCAGAAGAAGACGTGGGCCGGGGGTTACAGGTCCTGTGACGACTCCGCGATTACTGGGCTGGCTGGGCTCATCTGGGCTTAAGGCAGCGTGTGTTTGAGGCCCACGTACTTTGGGGAGTGATGTCAACGCTCCAGTGCTGTGAGAACACCCCGTCAAAAAAAACTGTTCTGTGAGAACAAGTCGCGCATTCTCGGCTCCAGTGGCCAGCCAAGATCAAGTCGTCGGTGATTGTTCGTTCGTTACTCCAAGGATATACAGTCGTTACTCGTTTGGATTCGTGTTCATATGATCTTCCTTTTCTTGAAACATGCTGAGTGGCAATGTTGAGCACATGGTAGCTTTGTTCGTCCGTAATGTTTGTCCCATAATTACATGCTGATGAGTGGCAAAATTGAGCATGGTAGCTTTGTACGTCTGTAATGTTTGTCAACATAAAAAGAATGAAGCTTCAGACAAGATTGCCACTGTCCTAAAATCCTCATTTCGGGTTCTCATCCGGCATCACCAGTAGAAATACTCCCTCCGTTCCTAAATATATAAGCCCTTTTAGAGATTCCAATATGAACTACATACGGAGCAAAATGAGTGAATCTACACTAAAATATGTCTATGTACATATACATAGTCCGTATTGAAATCTCTAAAAAGGCTTATATTTAGAAATGGAGTATAAAGCAGCCAATGATCCGATGCATTCCATCATATGATTCATCTTCCGTGCTATTTCCGAAGCGAGACAGTTTCAGTTTGTAATTACCAGATGAACAAGAAATTTATTCACTTCTCAGAATACAAACAACCATCATGTATTTTCTGCATATTGCAGAAGGAAAATATAACACTAAAAAAGAAAGTGAGCTACAGGAGCAGAGTGATGTTGGGATCCCCACTATAGAGTTACAATACATGTCACTCTGTCCAAAGCTTCAAGTCTGTCCAAGATAATTGCACAAGGAACAGGTGGGAAGAGCATTCAGAAGAATTGTACAAGCAATGTCCTCATAGGCGAGCTACATACGAGTTGGCCTGTGTCACATATCTCACCCACCTGTATGGATTGTATGTTTTGGATTTCTTCGCTATCTGAAGATATCTGACCTGCAGCGGGGAAGGGAATAGTTCAGTCGTGTGTGGGTGGTGTTGGTGTTCAGGAAGCATAAAAGCTATACATCGATCTACTAGCTGTTCAACAGATAAGAAAATTCTTAAATCATGTTAGTGTTGGCACAGAGATGGCAGCAGATGGTCTTACCTGTAACTTTGAAGCATTGTACATAGGTATAGTGAAGTTCATGTTTACTGGTCCGGCTTCCTTTGTGAGGTTTCCTGTGTTCATAAAGATGTGTGTCACAAAAACATAGTATAATAGTCACTCAGAGCATAGACAGGCCATGCTAGAAGTCAAGAGCATACCATGTGTCTCCTGGGAAAATGTGAGCTTTGCACGAAGGGTATGCTCGGAACCACCAACAATCTGCCAAAAGTTAAACTTGTTCAGCAAAGTACAGCAGACTGGCTAACAAATTCAGGCTTGCATCGCATGTAATCATCTTCGAATAGGGTTTGCATATAATAGAGTTCAAACTCAATGGGGGGAAAACAAGAGTGAACCATAGATAAAATCCTTTTTGGAACTTGCCTTCTTTAGATTCCACTCCAGTCTCCTGGTTCCTTCTTTAAAATCTGTTGTCTGTCCAACTGCTCCAGCTTCCAGTTCAAAACTTGCCCTGCAAAGTAATTCCATAATGCAACCCTTTAACCAATTATCACAAGCAGAATTTAATGTTTAAACTTTGTCTGAACTCAAAAGGACAAAATAAAGCTGCAACTGACCTCATTGTGTAAGAGGGCACTGGCATCTGTACTGTGATTGTGTTGGCAGTGACATTTGCAGGAAAGTCTGCCCGAATTTTCAGTAGAACTTCAGCCTGTATAACATAAACCAAGATCTTGAATCAAGATACACCAATATCGAAATATTAATTTTATCAGCACCGCAAAAACACAAAATACCTTACCCTAGATGGGCCAGCTTCTTCAATT